GTGATGCCCAATCTTTGCCATTGGGTTGAATATTTCTTCTTTCATCTTCTGCTGGATTTCTTCCGAGGGCGAGACCTTGAATTTAGGCAAGCCTTTCCTCAGGAATCCCTTTTGTTTGTAACCGGGGGTCGGCTGAAGGATGTTTTGTTTTTTCAGTATATCAGTAATCTGAATAATAGTTTGTCCATTGCAGTCTGCAACTCATCAGTCGAGTTCAAAGTTCTCACCGACGGTTGAACTTACGGAGTTTTTGAGAAAATAATGAAGTGTGACTCGGATAGCCTTCACCCATAATGATCTTAAGGGCTCGTCTCAAGAGCACCAGTGTGGTCATCTCGCTCAGTAACTGGACTTCATTGGGCTCAAGCAGGCACTGGTAGCACGCATGGATATTAGGAATTCTAGGATCGTCCGAGCTGTCAAATCCGTAGCATGCCGCATGCTGGCGTGAATGACAGAAAACACACTCAATCTGCTAGTCTTAGCATTCAGCATCTGCAAAACATGACAAGCTTACCATTGCTGATTCCTCTCCATCCCATCCGCATTGACATCGGACGCTTCGCTGATGCTCGTTGCCCTCGCCGAGAGTCCTCTCTCGTGGCCCAACGTGCTTCTGGATCTCGGCAACTGTTTTCTGTGACAGTATAGACCCGTGGCCTGGATGCGCGTCTCCCTTATTGGCATGGTCAACTGCAGATCTGGGATTGATCGGTTGGGTTGGAACGAGTTCGCTGTCCGGCAGAGGGGATATCCTCTGGGTCTACTTTGGTGAGCTGTAATCTATGCTCATGGTTTCAATCGGACTCCTTACAGGAATCATCATCTGCAACTTCTCTCTTTCAGTGATATCTTTGGCTGCTTCCTGAGATATGTCTGTGGAACGAACCGCTGTTAAAGGTAAGTCTCGCCTGAAGTCATCATGTTTTATATGACACATCTTACATCGGATTTTCAAGTCGTCCTCGTTAATTTTTTCCTCGGCAAGTCCAATGTCCTCAGATCGGCGCACCACGTCTCTATATTCGAGGTCCATGGGCACTTTCGGCGGCATTTCCGATCCCTCTGGGTCGGGACCCGTCCATTTTAGGGACGTCACTTTTAGTCCCACCCTTATGAAGTTAGTCAGGGAAGCAAGTCTGGCCGGAAAAGGCGCCTACGTATGCCATCCGCTATTCATGGTTCCGCAAGATTGGGTCTCCTTTCTCCAGTTCTCATTGAGTGGATATCTGATCATGTCATTCATCGCGCCGGTGAACCCGGGAGGCTCGTATTCTGGGGGACAGTCGTCGGTATAGAATAAGTGGATTCCCAGATTCCTTTTATCTATCAAAGAATTAGCCAGTACGCCTCTTACATAACAGAGGAGGAGAATACTTGGAAGGTTCGGTAGGAAGGTACTGAGTGTAATCAGTCGTCGAACTATCGTCTCTAGACCGACTCTGGCCGTTTGGGCGGACTTCAAATCAGCGACACAGCCCACCGGATTGATCGACAGACTCTCCAGGCGACTGTTCACACCACCAGAACCTCTCGAGTATTTGAAAGTGAAAGTATAGGTCTCCAAGACATTTTCTGGCTTATCTTTGTCAACAAGAATGGTGAATTGAATAGCACCCAGGACATTTCTCTTGAGCGCGTCGAATATGCCGTTTTCCTACTCCCATCAATGGTACGAATATAAATCCACGTAGACAGCAGACGCACCAAGACATCGAGTATCATATTAGCCTTGGGGTCGGAATCACGGACGATGATCTTCAGTGGTTGACCCCTCCTCCCCGTCCCGAACGCGACTTGTGAAAGAGGTCCGGTTCCTCCGGGGCGCAGTTTTCCATCTATAAACTCTCTGTATGATAAAGCATTTTCCCGCTGAGCCTCTTTCAGATCTCGATCGTCGAAGCAGGGGAGCGGTAGAAACTCGCTTTGGGAGGCACAGATCAGGATGTCTGTCAATATGGCAAAAGGCGAGGATAAACTGACCGGAGATAGAACAACGTCCCGAGCTATAAATATCCGATTAACCTTAAGTGGTGGAGATAAAACCAGATTCGGCCAGGCGTACTCACCGAGACGTGCAGCATGATTTGTACCAATTCAAGGCTTTGCTGCTGTTTCAAGGCTGTGCTTTCTTCAACTATCGATCTCGAGATATTCTCCACTTCAGCCTGCCTTTCGGTCTGGGCAGGGACGTCACCTTTCGACATGAGGCCTTGAAGAATAGGAGTTGGTTGTAGTTGGACTGTCGACACAGGCCCAGTAAATTTGATTCGGGCCATTCTGTGCAACTTTATCTGACGGCCCCCCCTACGCACCTGGTTTGAGAACAGAAGAGACAAGGAAATGCGGAGATGATTTCAGGTGGGATTTCGTGCCAGCTGTTAATATGGTTGCAGATAAGATAATTAGAGTTGACCTGAGATCAAGGTCATCGTGACGCGAGGGAAAGACGATGGTCAAGGTTCTGGGGAATTACAGCTGTTTTTTGTAGAGGTACCTCCCCGCACGTCTCAGGCAACGACCCAGCTACAACCTGGCGAGGCCAATCGACACAGGTGGTGGGTGCATAGTCTAGGGGAATAATTAAGAAAGTAAGTCTTTCAAAGTATTTGTGAGTTAAGTTATGTGCTTCAACTAAAAGTGGTATAAATTGAAAGATGGAATCATTGAGCTTGAATCAATGGTAGGGAAGCGGGGATATCGGAGATTCCAGATGCAACAACCACCCGAGTGACGTTCTTCTATATGCCTGTCTACCGGGCCCCTAGGACTTAAGGATAGCCAAGCCTGCGTATGGAGCTATTTTCCTTTTTACTATTTTCTTTTCTCTTTTTTTGTCTTCTGCAGCTTTCCACGTATCTTTCCAGTTTGGCTATCCTTGGAATTTTCTTCCTTAGCGCTCTACGGCATCTCCGTGACGATATGTTTTCCGGAGTCTTGGCGCGCCCTCTCAGAACAATCCGTAGTTTATATACATACTGGAAGGAGTTCCTGCTTTGGCCCTTTGCTGTAAACTCGGAACTATACTGTTCGATTCTCCCGAAGCCCTTCCTATGCCCTCATTTTGGTTCTTTTTGGTAGAGCTATATCTCCAAGCACCACAACTATGAACCAAGCACAAGCATTTCCAGACGATTCGAACGCATTGGAGAATTTCCTCTAGTATCTCTGGGGCCCTTGGTATGTGAACGTCCAATTGGACTCAATGAGGCTGGCTGGATTGGGAACGAGAACAGCTGCGATAGCCTCTGCTTTTGAATTGGGGCACGTTCGCATGCTCCAAACATGCTACCTGGTTCCTGCGCCTGCCTAGAAGGATTACTCCGTACTCGGTATACTGCCCCACCTGAAAAACGCGACAGACATGATTACAGGAAACCAAAACACCATCCCGTCAGGAGCTGTCATCTGGAACGGGAATTTGGATAAGTATATCACATATTTATATTGAACCGAGCAGTGTACGTGATGGTTGAGGTCGGCTTAAAGCGAACCTAAAAAAAGATAGCGTTCCAATTCCTCAATACGCAATGGCAGGCTTACCTTATCTGGTCTGTTCCCCGCAATCCTTAGTTCAACTTCCTGGACTTTGTTATCTGCTTCATGACAAACATGATATAGAATGGTGGAAATCATCGCACCAGCCAAGCTGGGTTCTGCCGATTTAGAGCAGTGTCTCTGGCTACGATAATTTCCCAGATTCTAGTCCCAAAAAGGCCGTTTTTGTCTACCGGAATTCTTCTTTTCACCTGTTTGGAACCTTAAGAATCAGGCCCCAGAACTTCATTCCGCCCCACTATATCACGTGTGGTTCTGTGGTCATGCAGTGGCAATGGCATACATATTTCTAGGGCGAGGTTGATAAGTGATGCGTATGATGGAACAGCTAAATTTCATGTCATAATACTGATCATGGTTGCGAGTGAGATGATGAGATGTAGTTTGTGTGTCCTTGCTGTGTGGGGCAGTATAAGGTGTAGTTTTAGTAGCAAAGGAGTCTAGGTATACATATTTGGAAGTCTTTCTTACTCGAAGTATCGCTGGTATATGACCTACTTTGTTCTCTAGATGTATGAGAGCCGACTAAAAAAATTACTCTGTATGCCTTATAAAGAGAGACTGGAATCCTATCTATTTTATGGTCCCTTTTAGGGAAGTTCTTAAGGTGATTAATCGTTCGTTGGCACTATTTATGTAACTCAGGACGGCAAATTGTGAATCCGTCTTGCCTCGTACCAATCGAGACTTTTTTCCTGATTTCGCCCTCGTCATTTGAAATTCTTCTGGAGATCACTCTACCCCAAATATTGATTGTTTATTTGGTTTATTTCCCTAGTTTTACCCTTGTTAAACCTCTTTTCCTCCCCTTCTTGCTTATTCACCCGATCGTTATCACTTATCATCATACCGATAACCCCCCTTCCATCAACTAGTCTAACTAGTACGTAGGTACCGCTGTGGGTGCCTTAGTCCTTACTAGCCTCGGAGAAGCGCCAAAAAGCCTTGCCAGAGGAGGCACGACCAACCACCTCCCAGTGATGGTCCAGCTCCCTCGATCATTCTCCGCCGCCCAACTGTTCCAACATCTTTCTTGTCAGCTGCAGCATTTCAATCCTTGCAAACACCACCGTTTCACTCCCACTCGTTTCCCCCTCTTTCTTACACGGGAACTCTCTTATGACAACCATGTTCTGAATTATCCTCTCGCTTTCTCATTCAAGGTTTCAGGGCTACAACTCTGTCTCTGCGAGCCTATCGTGCTATCAGACACTGTGCCCTCTCCCACAACTGGCTCATTAACCTCCCCCAAGGCCGGCTGTTTTGCTCTGCACCGCCCAACTCTTCGTGTGGTCCCCATATAAGGTGAATAGAATCAAATTTGTTTACATATACCTTAGAGTTAGGGATCTGACCGTCTATCAGCAAGCCAGGACGCGTCTCTTGCCTCATCGCTCTCCATTTACCTTCCAGCGAACGTTATCAGCAGCAAGAAATTCAACATGGACCAGCTAGATGCCAACAATGACCTTGATCATCGAGCGACCAATAGTACTATTGGTCAATTTTCCTTCGCTCCTGCTACTCGAACCACTGTCGTGACTACCACAACCACGACCACTACCACATTTCCTCCCCTCATCATCAAATCTCCTCGAGCGACGCGGGATCTCGATCCTAAGCTGTATCCCTTGGCCTCTTCTCCCACTCCTACGTCTTTGAGGAACATAAAATTCGAACTCGGCGGGAAAACTGTCGTGTTCAACGAGCCGGAAGATGCAACAGTGGCTATCAAAGAGGTACGGCAGTCCCATATTAGTCCTTCGGAGCGTGATTTCACTCTGTTTCCGGTTCTACTTACATACGTACTACATTACATGCCGCGACCTCTCAGCTAATTTGGTTTTCACAGGTGAACGAGACAAACGACGCGTTGAAAGCCTCGAATGGTATTGTGCAATCCATCACTTCGTACACTACTTCAGATAACGCCCAAAGCTCCCGTCGTCCAGCATCTGCTCGATTATCTAGCCAGCCGTCCAACCCGTCCACCGTGAAACGTCGGCCAGCTTCAGTCATAGATTCCCACCAATCTTCCACAAGGTTACGTCCAGGTAGACTTCCGTCGGAGCCCTCATTTCGTCAGATTCGTTCTCATCTCTCTTCAGCCACATACACGGCTGGCTTGGCGACTCCGGAGACCGAATCCAGCAGTTACAACTTGAGTGACTATGCGATGCCTCGAAGAAGAGTACATAGTGCGGCCATACCCCGCAGAGAGACCTTATTGCGCTCGCCTCTGTCTTCAGAAGTTGAAAGCCAGGAAGTATTGCAGGATCCCGGTGCAGAATCGGTCCTAGGAAAAGAACCAATCCGCGCTAAGGCAGTTATTTGGGAGAGAAATCGACATCTTAGTCGACATAGGGACAGCGCGTCCTCGAGGCCGGCACCCCAACTTGCTACTCCGGCGGTAAATAGTGATGGAGCTGCGGGTGTGAACAGTGCGAGCCAAGGCACTGACTACGACGGCTCGGAAGAGTCGTTTCAGCAGGCACCAACGGAACCTGCGTCGCAGATATCGGCTATTGAAAATCTTGTTGCCCACGACATGTGCTTACCCAGCCCCAGCTTGTCGCCTGTGGCTGCCCTGAATGCGATGAATGTGGATTCCTCATTTGAATCGGCAGAAGACCAAGAGATGGATACGGACTCAAGCCTCGATAATAATGCCTCCCGCCTTTCAAACATACGGCACTTGGACGATCTAAAGAACCATGATTTGTCTCCTTCCAGGTCTGGAAACCTGCCGGGCGCAATGGAAAACCGTCATACTCCGTCTTTGATGGATATACCCAGTGTATTGGACTTTTTTGACTCAGTTCCCGAAGAACTGAAAACTTACCTGATGTATCAGTTTCTGAGGAGGTGCCCCAAGCCGACACTGCATTTTGTGGCCGACGTCGTGAATCCAGCGTTGAAGTGCGATTTCCTCGCGCTTCTTCCTCTGGAGCTTAGCCTCAATATTGTCAAGTATTTCGACGTTCAAACCATGTGTCGTGCAGCACAAGTGTCGAAGAAATGGAGGCATATCGTCAATTCGGATGAGAAGACTTGGAAAGATCTATTTGACAGGGATGGATACGTTCTCACCGATGGTGAGTTGGAACGTGCAATCAAAGAAGGCTGGGGATGGCAGTTTCCGCATGGGGATGACGACTGGGAAAAGGATCTGAGCTCGTCTTCAGTCATAAAATCTGAACCAGATTGCGCCCCTGGGTCCGCTTTCTCTTCCTTGCCAGGAGAATCCGGTGAAAGGGCTCTGTCTGTAAGTCGTCGACCGAAAAGGAAGGCCACTCGCATCTCGGGTCGCAAGTATGCGAAGAGAAAGATCTCCTCTAGTAATACCGATTCCTCGGACTCCTCAGGTTGGAGAAATGGAGTAACCGCAACTGAGGGACCATATGCAGCCGCGAATGCTGCAGCTGCAGCTGTCCCATACCCGGAAATTGGCCTACCGTCCCTCAGGGGTCTTCATTTGTTCAAGTCCCTCTACCAGCGCCACCATTCGATTCATAAAGGCTGGATGAAACCTAGTGTGAAACCGAAACACATTGCCTTTCGCGCTCATGATCGCCACGTAGTTACTTGCCTCCAGTTCGACACCGACAAGGTTCTGACAGGAAGTGACGACACGAACATTAACGTCTACGATACAAAGACGGGCGCCTTAAGAGCTACTCTGGAAGGCCATGAGGGAGGGGTTTGGGCCCTGGAATATCACGGCAACACTCTTGTGTCCGGGTCCACGGACAGGTCGGTGAGAGTTTGGGATATCGAACGGGCAAGATGCACTCAAATTTTCCATGGACATACCTCGACAGTGCGTTGTCTGCAAATTGTTCTACCAGTCCAAGTTGGTAGCAATGCTGACGGCACACCTGAAATGATGCCTAAAGAACCAATCATCATAACTGGTTCCCGCGACTCTAGTTTGCGAGTTTGGAGACTCCCGAAACCAAGTGATCCGGTGTACTACCAGAGTGGACCCCATGCCGATGATGCCGATTGTCCTTATTTCATCCGTGTCCTTACTGGTCATCAGCACTCTGTCCGTGCGATCGCTGCGCACGGTGACACTTTGGTTAGCGGAAGTTACGATTGTACCGTGAGAGTGTGGAAAATATCGACTGGAGAGACTATTCACCGACTTCAGGGCCATACACTCAAAGTGTACAGCGTTGTACTTGACCACAAAAGAAATCGATGTATCAGCGGTTCAATGGACAACACAGTCAAAGTGTGGTCTCTGGATACTGGCTCGATCATTTATAATCTAGAAGGTCATAGTTCACTTGTGGGTCTTCTTGATTTGAAGTGCGACCGTTTGGTCTCCGCGGCTGCAGACTCTACCTTGAGGATCTGGGATCCTGAAACTGGTCAATGCAAGAGCAGGCTGAGCGCGCATACTGGTGCCATTACCTGCTTTCAGCATGATGGCCAGAAGGTGATCTCGGGATCTGATCGGACGTTAAAGATGTGGGATGTGCGGAATGGGGAGTGCGTTCGAGATCTTCTCACGGACCTGAGCGGTGTATGGCAGGTCAAATTCAATGATCGAAGATGCGTTGCCGCAGTACAGCGCGATACTCTAACGTATATTGAGGTAAGCCAAGGAAAGTGTCTCTCAATTTGCTTATCGTCATTAACCATCTTCAGGTCCTCGACTTTGGTGCTTCTCGCGACGGTGTCCCGGAGGATCAGTTGGGGAGACGGATAGTTGTCAACCGATGGGGACAGGAGATCGGTGACAATGCTGACGAAGATTACGATCTATCTGATGGCTGACGCCGTTGATTCAGACTACTGGCTCGTCAGTGCTTCGCCAGCTGGCATGGCTCGAAGCACTTCGGTCACCAGATCATGCCAACTTTTATTCTTTTTCCTGCTCTACTTCCTCTTCCTGTCTGCCTTTCAAGCCATGAAATGTTTAGATACCCTTTATCCACGAACTTGCTGTTTATCGAGAGGCTTTGCATAGCGTGGTCAGCATCCATTGTCATGCTGGGAAATGACGGAAATGGCGTTTTGACTTTCGAAAGCAATGATTTACTAGCCCCAGCTCACTTCATTTACTCTCTTCTATTATATTTCATTCATATCTCTTATTCCATGTTCAAATGTCATTTTTATATGCATTATGATCAACTGATGTTGGGTGAGTTGAACAGATCCGTTTCGATGCACACGGCGATTGACTGTTTTCTCCTGCTTCCCGTCGTGCTTCAGGAGGCGAGAATTTTTGTTCATAGACTCTCTATGACTCTTTTCCACGATCTTCGAAAAGTGAATTGAATTTTTGCATTTATATTCATATGGGGCAGTTGTATACTGTCATGCGACAGAGCTTTTTTGCTGCAAGGGGTAGCCTTACAAAAACGATCAATTTGGGTACACCATCACTGAAGGGATCACCCTTAGAAAATGAGTCGGAAGGGTGTGCTGAAACAAGCTTGAGCGCACTGTCGCAATATCGGCAACCAATTAGACTTGATCAGTAGTATAACGATTTGCCGAGTCTGAGGACAGAATAATACCCGTTGTATTCTGGAGAAATCAGCTGTCGAATTCTCCATTGTCTGGCATACCCAGGAACTAGGTGAAGATCCTGCGCAAGGCAATTCGCAAGATGTAGTTCAATTGACTAGATGTAAGACAAGGAATGGGCCTCACAGAATTGAGTCCTAGAGTTCTGAATTGCACATTGGCAGGTGTGCGATGGCTTGAGCGGTCTATAGAGTATGCGGTTTGATAGCGATTGAGATTCCTCATATTCTCAAGGACGGTCTGAGATCCGAGGAACACACGACGTCTCAATCAATCATGGTGGAGCTGCTGAAGCGCCTCGGACGGACGAGCTGGACGGGATGGACTCAGCCTTCACTTCTATATTGCCATCGAACCCAGCAGCAGATAAGATGGCCCATCGTATGGCACTGATGCCTAGGAATTGCCCCGGTCCAGTAGGTGTTTCTGCACTGCATGTGAGAATTTCACCCAAAGCGCCAGGGCCTTCGACACGACCGTCCGGTTGAACTATTGGCCTGAGATCTTGAAGCAGGTTCCTTAGCGCGGCGACATTGGCCACGGACGCGCCGCTCTTAACCTGCTTTTTTCTCTTTGCTAATACCTTGTCGACTTTTGATAGGATAATCTGGTGGGGGATGGCGTACTCTCGGAATAGCATGAGAATGTCCTCGTCTTTCTTTTTGATCCCGTGAAGGCTGTCAATTAAGATAAAGGCCCGACGAAGCCTACATGTTGCGACTAAGGTCAGTATCAGTTGCCCATCATCAATGCATAAGAGCGACTCACTGGCGCCGTCCCTGAAGGTACTTCAGAATCTCAATACCCCATTCCGTCCTGCTTCCCTTTCCATACCCCGGCATGTCCAAAAGGACAATTTTGGATTCGCCGCCTTTGGTCCCTCCAATCCCGAATGCGTTCATCTCCCGGGTTCTCCCAGGCTTGGATGAAGTCCAGCACATCTCCTTCCCCATTATGGCATTGAGTAACGAGCTTTTCCCGACGTTCGAACGGCCAAGGAAAGCCACTTCGGGTTCGAGCGACGAGAGGGGCGTCGTGCGGAATTTGCTGGCGGACCATAATTTGACTGGAGAATGACGTGACGGAGTAAAGAACTTATCCGCGTAGGAAAGTTGAGATTCATTCGGTATTCGTGTATCCCAGTAGTAAGAGAGGTCGGACGGAGTCAGATCGCGAAGCTGGAGTTTGGGCGCATTTGGAGAATTGGATGGCGCGACAGCTGTTGGTGAATTCTGGCGAGGGAGAGCGGTTGAGAGATTCCTGCGCATACAGGCCGTACAGACATAGAGCTTGGTCTTCATTATGAAGTATGATTTTTGACTGTAAGGTGAGATTCAGCTTGCAGAAAAGTATCTGAGCTAGAACATCATGCCGTCGAATGAGAAAGTGATCCGAGCGGGATCCAAGGGAAGTCTCCGCTGATCTGGGCCCCGCCGCGTCAGTGCGATAAGCAAGCTCCGGGGTTCCAGAGACCCAACTCTACGTCAATTCTGTTCTGATCACCAAGCTGAAGATATTTGACTATTGTGCGCATATAATAGTTGCCATTCACACTGTTCTGGTTTCTAGTCCCCCAAGAGAGCAGAAGATAGCTTTCGTGTTGCGCCCAACATGATCAACGCCGTCCTCGTCTTCAACAACAACGGGCAACCGCGCCTCACTAAATTCTATACACAAATCGTGAGTGGCCTGGACGTCACGGTTCTTGGTGGGCTCGATTGAAAATGAACTTTACTGATATAGGCGTCTGCATCGCTGTTAGGATACGCAAACGAAACAGTCACTGATTGCCCAGATCTACGATCTGGTGGCACAGCGTCCGCCGAGTGCCTGCAACTTCCTACCACTGCCCCCATTGCTTTCGCAAGGCGCGCGTTCAAGCGCAGCCAATGGTCCTTCTGATGCTCCTACGCAAGTCACCTACCGCACCTATGCCACCTTGTCATTCATCATGATATCCACGTCCACCGAGTCACCGCTTGCGCTCATCGATCTAATACAAGTTTTCGTGGAAGCCCTGGATCGGATCTTTGAGAACGTTTGCGAGTTGGATCTTATCTTCGGGTTCGAGACAATGCACGCAGTTCTCAGTGAGATGATTGTCGGTGGTGTCGTGGTCGAAACCAATATCGACAAGATTGTTGCAGGCGTGCGAGAACAGGAAGGCAATCTAGGTAAAAAGAAGGCTATACAAGCAGCCAGCTCCGGCCTTGGGCGAGGAGGGCTCTCAGGGCTTGGTGCTTGGCGTTGAATATCATGATTCCCATACTTGTTTGCTCGAGTGCTATAGGGCGCCAGGCAAATTGATTGCATCTACGGATACGGCGTCTGGCTTGAAATTCGCATTATGTACATATGATGGCTATGAGATGATTTTGAGTGTCCCGAAACATAGATAATTGGGAACAATATTCGACTCTATACCTTGGAAGGACTCGTTCACACTTCACTAGGTTAATCAATAGTTATTGCCTTAGGGTGCAGGTATTAATTCAGGCAGCAATCGAGCTTCGAAAAAACCCGAAGGGTTAACCCTAAGTCACGTGATCAGATCCAGCAGCAGAACTCGGCCCGCGGTTTTTCCGCACTAGCGCGACCCACAAACGCAACGGCGGCTTTTCTTCTCGATGATCAAAAAAGAGCTTCAACTTTTCTTTCTCTCTTCCCTTGTCTGTCAATCCCGTCACCCAGCACCGTTGCGGAACTCAGTCGACAAAATGGTAAGCCCTTGATATCCAATTCGAATCTATCCTAGTAGAGCTGTCGATCATTTGCGACATGTCGTGAGACAAGAAATTGTCTACCTCATTTCGCGAGGGTCGAGGCATATTCCGTTGGTCGCACAATTCTCTCTTGGGATGCGTGCACCGGCGATGATTTGGCTGGAGTCACAGAAGTTGTCTTTGGACCCTTTCTTGTGTTCTCTCTAGAGTTCAAGAAGATACAGCAATTGGTGGACAACTCGCTGATCTTCTTTTCTCAATGACAGCCTCCTAAGTCCGGAAAGAAGGCCGCCCCTCTCCCCTACCCCCAGGGCAAGGCTGGCGCTACCAAGAAGGGTGCTAAGGTATGCAGTCATTTTCCCAGACTTTTGAAAAGAATTGCTCTTGCTAACAATTTCAATTAGAACCCTCTCATCGAGCGCCGCCCCCGCAACTTCGGTATTGGCCAGGACGTCCAGCCCAAGCGCAACCTCTCCCGCTTCGTCAAGTGGCCCGAGTATGTCCGTCTTCAGCGCCAGAAGAAGATCCTCAACCTCCGCCTGAAGGTCCCCCCCGCTATTGCTCAGTTCCAGAACACTCTGGACCGCAACACCGCTGCCCAGACCTTCAAGCTCCTCAACAAGTACCGCCCTGAGACCAAGGCCGAGAAGAAGGAGCGTCTCCACGCCGAGGCTACCGCTGTTGCCGAGGGCAAGAAGAAGGAGGATGTCTCCAAGAAGCCCTACAACGTCAAGTACGGTCTCAACCACGTCGTCGGCCTCGTCGAGAACAAGAAGGCTTCCCTTGTTCTGATTGCCCACGACGTCGACCCCATTGAGCTGGTTGTCTTCCTTCCCGCTCTCTGCCGCAAGATGGGTGTCCCCTATGCCATTGTCAAGGGCAAGGCTCGTCTCGGTACCGTTGTCCACAAGAAGGTAAGATAAACTCATCCCATTATTTTCATCTTGCAACATGCCCTAACGTCACACTATCAGACCGCCGCTGTCCTTGCTCTCACCGAGGTTCGCTCCGAGGACAAGACTGAGTTCTCCAAGCTCCTCTCCACCATCAAGGAGGGCTACACCGACAAGTACGAGGAGTCCCGCCGCCACTGGGGTGGTGGTATCATGGGCTCCAAGGCCGTTGCCCGCATGGAGAAGAAGCGCAAGGCTGCTGAGGCTGCCGTCAGAGTTTAAAGCCTGATCAGTTTGATTGACGGGTTTTTCCGGACGACATTATGACTTCGCGGTCCTTTCCTTTTTATTCTCTCCACAGGGAATGGATGTAATCAAAAGTTGAAACACTTTGGGAAATGGGAATGGTGTTCTGAGGCTCATATTGACTTGTTGACGGCATTTTAGCTTAGATGGGTGGAGCACTTCGGCACCCTCTCAATTCCAATCCATATTGATGGCCCACCTTGTTTTCTTTTTTTATGTACACCTCGCAGATACCCATGAATGCATTTTCAGACATCAATTAGCACACCATGCGTAGAGCATAATTGAGGTTGAGCATTCATGCATGTGATATCTGTCTGCAAAGTAGAACAAGGCTTAAGCTACCTGGTGTTGCTAGCCTGTAGCATATCTGTTGTGGGGTAGACTTTATTCCAATGCTGTACAACATTCTTCCCTTCGAGTCAGTTGAAGAAATAAAGACCCTAGACTTCTGGATTCATAACCCTCCGTGTGCCCATTAATTTTCCATGTATACCTAATGTCCAACGACCGTATCCATAAAATACAATCCGCGCGCAAGCATGCTTCAAATTTATACATCAAAGGCATGACAATAGAAGAAGCAGACCCCGCCAAATGCAATCAAGTGATTGTTTCCCTAGCACCACAGCTGATCCCAAACAAGCGGCTGAAAGACGTGCAAGGGGAGAAACGACCTCGAAAATGAAAATGAGAAGGAAGAACGCCGGGTATTGGCCAGTACCAAGGTCAAGAAGCCTGCTGTCATAAGAAAGAAGAGAAATCATGTCATGGGTTACAGAATCGAAAAATAATTCATGGAGCCGTTAGCGTTGCGCAGGGGCACGCGACAGACCTTGTCTTGCCTAGCAATATCGATCAGTGATAGATTCAGAATTGAACAGAGCTGATTAAAGACGTACCTTCATTTGTTCAATCCGTGCCTTGAGTTGGCTGGTGACTTCTGCGGCTCTCTTCCAATTCTCCGCGGGTTCTGAGCTCCTCACCGGTTGCTCCTCTCCAGAAGCACTACCAGAGCCTGGTATGGACGACCTTGTTGGACTCCCCATCCCGGAGTAGTTGGTTCCAAAGGAAGGGCTGAGTTTCCGTCGACCCAGGCCTCCATCTCTGCTACCGCGTCCTGGTGACTCCAGATCGGTGTTTTCTTTCTCCTCACTTGGACTGGCAGATACGTAGCTCCGAGGTCGCCCACCATCAAAACGACTTCCCATGTGGAGGCCGGTTCTGGGAACGGCACCATAGCCGTTGATACCTGTTTCATGGTATATCGACGTCTCCGGTACTGGCAAATTCATATTATCCGAAAAGCCGTTGGGAGGACTCTGAGCGCTGGCCCGGAGAGCTCTGGCCAATTCTCGCTTTAAACGATCAATTTCCCTCTGCTGCTTCTGAACCGTCTGCTCAGCCGCCTCTGCATCACTCCTGGCTCGAACCAACTGCGTTTCCTTGGCTTTGATACTTAGAACATCCCTTGTATGATCCTCAATGAGTTGTGCATTTTGATCTTGGAGCTCTGTCACTTGCGAGTTGAGTCGAGTTCTTTCAGACTTCAAGTCCTCAATCATTCGAAGGAACCTTTCTCTTTCAAGGCGCAATTCGTCGAGTTCAGCCCTTTCGATGGTAGAAATCCCGCTCACTTGGGGTGGCGCAGCTGGAGCTGGAGCTGGTTCAGGAGCAGCTGATGGCTTGGTTATGGGACGGCCAGCAAGCCCCCTTCCAAGACCGAATTTCGGTGCAGCTGGCGCTGGAGGCTGTTCTTCCGAAGGGGGCGAGATGACCCGACGCTGTGGGGATGCAAGGCCACCAGGACCACCAAGCTTTCTTTGAAGCTTGAGTCCAGCGCCTGGAGTGGGAAGTCCACCAGGCTTGGGAACCCCACCCAACTTCGACGGGATAGACCTTGTAGTGGGTTTTGGAGGGGAAAGGGTCGGTGCAGGCTCCTCTGGTGGAGGCGCCGCAGCAGCTGGAGCAGGCTTCTTCATTCCCAGAGCTGGCTTTTTCGCTCCAACAACCTTCTTGCCAGCGGCAGGCACGACCTTTGGCGGCCCAACGATAGGCTTCGGTCTGTCTTTCGCTTTTACCTCGGCGGTCTCATAAAATTCCTTGATCTTTGTCTTCCTGATATCATCGAGTCCGTCCAGGTAAGGGGTCATCGCACGCTCGCCCATGATCTTCATCAAGGTACCCAAAATTTCAGCTCCTCCTGCACGGTTGACTTCGGTAGACTCAGTCAGCAATTTCGTGGCGGCATCGGCAATGGATTTCACTTCAGCTTTCGACGGAACGTCTCTAGTAGTTCGAAGGCAGCGAATCAGGAATTTCAGGGTTTCCTGCTTCACCTGTGGGTTCTTGTGTTTCAGAAATTCTAAAATTTCCTCTAGACAATCCGATAGATTTGTCGATGCAAAGACCGCATCCAAAGCTTGTCCCAGTGCATCTACGACGGTCTGCTTTTTCTCTTTCAATCGTTCCATGATAGGCGGCATGATCGTGGATCGGTGTTTCGCGAAGCCACCCCGAAGACCTTTTGCGAGGAGATCGATACAGTTGGCGGCGACCGTCACGACTGCGACGTTTGCGTCTTTCATCGATTTTGCAAGACCTCGAACAATATCGTCAAACGGCCCGTCCTTGATTCGCGGAACGTTCAGTGCAGTATACAGAGCGTCCAGCGCCTCCTTCCTGTCTTTCCACTTCGATGATGCCAGCTGCTCATTAAAGTCCTTTGGTATTTTGGGGAAGACGTCGACTGGCTCAGCGAGATCGAATGCATCTACCTCGCCATCATCTTCATCTGCGTAGACCTCTCCAGCTTCCCCGTCACCATCACCGACTTCTGGAGCAGCACTGGCTGCAGCCATCGCATCCTGTTGTGCTTTTGTCAACCTCTCTTGCTTTGGCGCCGGTTCTTGCTTGACGCTTTCGAACAGCTTTTCGAGATCCTGTTGCTGGACAGGTTTAAGCTCTCCCCAGAACAGCGGTTTGATAGCCTCTTTCAACCATCGATACAGTTCGACTGTGAGATTCTGCGCTTCCGCACGAACATTTTTATCTGCGTGGCCGAATACTTTGGGTAAGGCCTTCAGGACTGGTTTAGGATCGACAATCTTGCAGCCGAAGTTGTGATAGATGGCTTTCAATCCGCTTAATGCTGCTGCAATCACCTTGGGTACTTTGTGCGACAAGATAGGGACTATTTCCTCAATAACCGGATCTGCCTTATCTAATTCGACACAGAGTAGAAGGGCTTCAAGGGCATTTGTTTTGGCCGCCGGTCTGGTTGAGGGAAGTCCTTTTTCCACAATAGGACCTATCGTGTATCCGCGAGTTCTGCGCAAACCCCTGTCAGCTATACCCAAGGTCGAACCGGAGTGAAATGTCAGGCACTGTTCTAAGGGTAGACCTACCGTGTACAAGCCTGAACACCCCCGTATTTGAGAAAAGAGCAATATGATGCAAGGCCTTCTTGTTGAGCAGCTACATTGGAATCTGACACTGCCCCTTTCCAGAGACCAGGATCTTGTAGAAATGGTACAAAAACTGGATCCGACTCGTCGGGTGTCTTTTCAAACTGTTGCTTGGCATCTTCATACCCTTCCTTTCGCACTTTCCAATTCTAGAGATATTCGGAAGATTGTCAGCGTTTTGTGTCATCGATGGAATTTGACCGAAGACATCGAGTAGAGGGGCTTTAACCTTGTGAGAGAACCGGTCAGGCAACGGTAATGAAGAAAAGTCCTCCTCCCCCTCGGCCATGATGACAGATTATATGCGTGGGCGATGTTACTGGCGAGAAGGCGCACTAGAACTGAGAAGCGAGTACAGTTAGCTTCATTCCACCGGAAGTGGCATGGCATGACAGAACAGAAACAGTCGAAGCGCAATATGCAGAAAACTATACAATGACACCAAGAGCGACGAGTAGCCTCAGGCTGGACAGCAAACTGCCGTTGACTTCACGCAACAGAAAAAGACGAAAGTGAGTCGCACCTTAGAGGGGTTGTTTGCGGAGGGGTTTCCTGTTGTGGATCTTTCAAGTAATGGTCAGTCCTGAGTAGTGTATCAAGACAAGCACAACTGTCACCTGAAGAGATAAAATTAATCCCTTCAGTCAATCTTAAATCTCCTCTTCCGGTATCTTTGACGAAATAAGAGGATGAAAGGGTGTGGTGGATTGTCTAGGAGAACATGCCAGTTGAGGCAGACGATGATTGATAGAATCGGACAGTAAACAACCAACAAGTCGCTGTGGTGATTTCGCGACCCAAGGATTGGGCGGAGTGGCTGCCTTGGCATTCAGGCCCGCAGGAGCACATGCCCAACTTTGCTGTTTGTGCAACTAAACAAACAATCTGAGGATTTGTCTCCCCCACGGTCGTTTCAACCAGCATCATATCAATACTTAATTCTTTACGTCCGGGCTCGATTCTGTGCTATCACCACTAAACACCTCTCGCCCATCACATAAAGTATATGCACCCGCTCTGACGACAGATACTACTTCCACGTTGCCCCCTCCCCCTGCGTTCTCACCCCCATCCCCTCGGTCGCAAAACAGAAACCCTCCCCCTCTTGACATCGAATTGCCTCACCGCCCGGCTCAGGACTATCATTCGCATACAAATTCCTGGATCAATTGCCAATAAGATCCAGCTTAAAAGACTTCGCTTTTCCTGCGGACGATCGCACGGTATACCGATAAGGAATTTATCTGTCTCGGCCGACGAGGCTACAGCAGTGCATGCACAGGGTCGACTGGTTTGGAGAGACTGCGCACGAAACTGCCGTTGATCATGAGCCAGCTACTCACGGCGCGGCAGGCAGAGGAGCTGTACGTCATTGCTCCTGGGTTACAATAACTGAAAAAGACTGAGGAGGAGAGGGTTGTGACGCTGACATCGCTCAAATTGTTCTCCATAGACACAAATCCATTATCGCCTATCTCTCCTCGGTGAACCTGACTGAGAGTTCCGCTGCTCTGCGAGCGGAGCTAGGCGACTCGGTTTCCATTGATGATGCGACGCTCAAGAAGTATGAGGGGCTATTAGAGAAGAAATGGACCAGTGTAGTCCGTTTACAGAAGAAGGTTGGTCCCTAGGACTTGCGCAACCTTGTTTTGCGTAATGAATGCCCGATAAAGCTGACCATCGTCACCCCTTCGGGCTGATCAGATCATGGACCTTGAGTCCAGATGCGCTGCACTCCAGTCAGAACTAGACTCTGCAACGCCTACTTCACTATTGCGAAAGAACCAGGATCCTACATCGTGGTTACCGCGATCCCCTGCCCGCCATACACTCGAGTCCCACCGACAACCTGTCACATGTGTTGCTTTCCACCCAGTGTTCTCTTCCCTCGCATCCGGCTCAGACGATACGACGATTAAGATCTGGGATTGGGAGCTTGGGGAACTAGAACGGACTGTCAAGGGGCACACCAAGGCGGTACTAGACGTCGATTATGGTGGGCCCCGCGGCGGTACACTTCTGGCGTCCTGTTCATCCGATCTAACAATCAAGCTATGGGATCCATCTGATAACTACAAGAATATAAGGACTTTGCCAGGTCATGATCACAGTGTCTCCTCTGTGAGATTCATTCCATCTGGCGCGGCAGGCTCGCCTATGTCGGGGAATCTGTTGGTTTCCGCGTCACGAGACAAGACTTTGCGGATATGGGATGTAACGACCGGATATTGTGTGAAGACATTGTCAGGACACGTGGACTGGGTGCGAGCCGTTGCGCCTTCTCTCGACGGAAGGTTCCTCTTCGCTGCGGGCGATGACCGGATCCCTCGCTTGTGGGATCTATCATCTGCGGAAACCAAATCCACATTCCTCGGGCACGAACATGTCATCGAATGCGTTGCTATTGCTCCCGCCGCCAGCTATCCACATCTTGCGGTTCTTTCCGGCTTGAAGAAGCCGCCCCCGGCTTCCTCATCGGCTGAGTTTTTCGCCACTGGGTCTCGAGACAAAACTATCCGGCTATGGGATTCACGGGGCAATCTTATCAAAACGCTTGTGGGCCATGACAACTGGGTTCGTGCGCTGGCTTTCCATCCAGGCGGTAAATATCTTCTATCGGTTTCAGACGACAAGACCATCCGCTGCTGGGACTTGACCCAGGAATGCAAGTGCGTAAGGGTCATCTCTGATGTCCACGGACACTTTGTCACATGCCTGCGATGGGCACCACCATTAATCAAAGATGGGGGAGCGAATGGAGAGTCAGAGACCAATGGGGCACCAGCGGCCACCGCGGCAACAAATGGTGTCAGACCAGATCCCACCGCGACCAACAAGATCTCAATCAGGTGTGTCATTGCCACTGGCAGCGTCGACCAGAAAGTGCGAATTTTCGCAACCTGACGACGTGGACCGATCTGTGCCGTTGTTCTTTAGACAACGACGGAGACGCATCAGAAGATGAATGCATACGAAGACGAAGAAGCAAACTTATGGACATCATTCAATTGGAATGACATCTAAGTGAACATGGCTCGCTCACTCGGGCATGGAGTTGGTTTCCATTCTGTGATACCAGTATATTTTAGGTGGAAGCGAGGTCTGATTTCCTTTGGGCTAGAAAGCTGTACTACCCTTATTACCTTCTGTATTGTCTTTAATCCTGCCAGTTTTTGGGGTTGTTGCATGGACGGATTCTACCTTGGTTCAAACCTGCGTCTTTCCTCGTACATATTTTACGGCCCTTTTCTTTCTTGTTGATCGAGATTCAAGATACCTTTCTGCTGTGATTGTTCTATACTGCTGAATCCATTTTTCAATCAATACATTGCACCTACCACGTCACTCTTTCACTTCAGTCAGTCTTCCAGTGGTAGTGAACCGTCTGAAGCTAAACAGAAACAATTATCACTTCATAGCCAGTTTCAGCTCGCAAAAATAAGCAACGGAAGATGAGGCAGGTCTGAATGAATTCCTCGCCATTTCGGTTTGTATTTTGACGAGCCAATTGTCCAAAGAGCAGTAAAAGAGCACGAATGTTCACAGTATAATACACTTTATCTCGCAAATCCCTATACAAAGAGTCCCATATCCCTCATACAAATACTAATCTCGAAGACCTCAAAGACCCTCCACTTCACGCACTAAGATCACCAACTCTCTCATAAATCAATGCCCTAATCCGTCCAACATGCTCCTTCACACCCTGCACCTCACCACCCTCCGACCTCCTCGCCTCCCGCCGCTGCCACTTAGCAGCTCTCTTCTCAGCACGCACGGCGTCGCGCTCCTCGCGCGTCATAAGAGGCGGACGATCCTCAATCGCACTCCCAAACGGCGCCACAATCCGCTCAACCACATGCCGCACATTGCGACTCTTCGGAAACCCGGACGAGAACTCGATGACATCGCCCTCACGCAGAGAATTGCGGGGGTCCGCGACAAGATAGTGCGTGATCTTGGGGTAGGACTTGCGAAGGTACGGGTCCCAGGTTGTATGGCGGTGGCTGACGCGGACGGTGCGGTCCATGCGGCCGACGGAGACGACGGTGCCGGTTTTGAGGGTGTAGGGGTACTTGCGGAGGGAGGGCGGTGCGATGGTCGACGAGGGTGTGAGTTCGGGAGCTGTCTGTTGTTGTTTGGCGACTGGGACTGTGGTTGAAGCGGTGCGTCTGAGGACTGTTGCGCCTGCGATGTTGTTTAACCGTGTTGGCTGGAGGAAGGAAGCTTGGGTTGAGGCGGTGGTGATGGTTGACCGGGGGATGCAGGATCGGAGGGGCTGAATTGCCCGTATGATATTGCTGGGTGGCATTTTTGTGCAAGAGATTGATCTCTCCGAGATCTCAAACGACCGTGATTATGTTGTTGAATGGGGGGATGTCCGTTCGGTTGTTTGAAGAGGTGAGAGTGGAAAGTCGTGGCCTCGGGGGACCCGGGAAGACTAGAGCACAGTCCCCAGTATATCAATTCGGTGCGAAAAAATGCAATGAGCACCTGGATATTGACAGAATCGGCCTATATGGGATCGTGATGTCTACGTTGAAATCCGCGGACGGCGGAGTTGCCCAAGAATTTCTCCATTGGTGTTTGCACTGTTTGTCAATTTCAATCGCAACGCCAACATGTACAAAGACACACCTTCAATTCGTCTTTACGCAGAAAGAGTATAATTGATGTGAGTTGAGATCAAAGTCATTCTGATAACCCGAAATATAATAGAATAAACTCATATATCGAAAATTCGAATCTGAATGAATGAAGAGGCCCCTAAGATAAACAAAAACACCTTATGGGAGTGCTTAATATACAAGACGCCAAAACCTCCCACCTGTCATGCCTACCCGGGCATAGGAATCTATTCGTGATCATTTTCTTTGGTTGTTTCCGTTCCAAAGACTCTGTTATAATGAACACAAAGCATAGCAGAGACAGAATTCCGTCCGCGCCTAACTCGTAAACAGGCGGGGAATCTTCCTCATCCCATCAAGCGATCCCAGCTCTTCATTCTCTAAGCGAAGAAAGAATGGCAACTTCATTGTGCCTTTTGAGATTCGTCAGACTCTCCAGAACCATTCGTGGGCTTCTCAGCATCAGCGCTTTCAGACAGCTTGGCCTTTCGCGATTGGAATTTCCCAGCTGAATGCGCAGATATTCTGTTCAGCTCGGTAACAAACGATTGGCCCCAGAAGGCGCTTGATGTCGTCAGCTCAGGTTAAGTAGATCAGTGACGGAGATATCGAGAACCTACCTTGTATATTTATTGACATACTTGTCCAGTTTGGAGAAGTTGAGGGCTCTTTGCTCATCACTCATGGTGACGGCCTCTTGGTAAGCACCAGCTAGCTCTTCCGTGTTCCACGGATTGATAATTATACTGCCGTTGAGACTCTGGGCCGCGCCAGCGAATTCTGACAGTACAAGCACACCATGTCGTTTTTGTTGAGACGCTATATACTCGTATGCCACCAAGTTCATGCCATCTCGGGTCGAAGAGACGATGCAGGCATCGGAAACCGCATACAGAGCAATCAGCTCGTCAAAGTTGACTGACTTGTGCAGGAAATGAATGGGCATGAATTCAACCGTTCCTATATCCGCCAGTCAGATATTGATGCCCAAGATAAGATGATGGCTGCTGAGCACCCACCGAATTTACCGTTAATCCGCCCAACCAGTTCATTCACAACCGCTCTCAAATTTTGATACTCCTCAACGTCTTGTCTACTGGGCACTGCGACTTGTACCAGCACGACTTTGCCCACCCATTCCGGATGATCACTGAGGAAGACTTCGAGAGCGTGCAGCTTCTGGGGAACTCCCTTGATATAATCGAGGCGATCAACACCCACCATGAGCTTCACGCCCTGGAATTTCTGCTCGAGCTGTGCTATCCGTTTCTGGACTTTTTCCTTTTTGAGACCTTCCTGAAACTTCTCTGGATCAATGCCAATCGGGAAAGCACCGCAAGCGATGACCTTGCCCTGGAACTCTATTCCATTAGGAGTGGTCGCCAAGCCCCTGTATATATGTTAGCTGCTTCAAGTGTCAATCAACATCAAAGGCGGCCTCAAGCGTACAGTAATCGCGAGCATGCGCTCAGGAAATGTCTCGTATAATCATATGTGTGGAACCCAATGAGATCGCAGTGAAGCACACCAAGCAACAGCTCGTTGCGGACGGGGAGGATTCTGTAGATTTCGCTGCTAGGGAAGGGAGTATGGAGAAAGAATCCGATCTTAACGTTTTCCTTGCTATCTCCAATCTCCTCGCGGAGCATTTCAGGAAGAAGCATGAGGTGATAATCATGAACCCAGATCAGGTCTCCATCTTTGACTTCTTTCGCAACGGCTTTGGCAAAAAGGCGGTTCGCTTCCTTGTATGCCTCCCAGGCTGATTCGTCAAATGTAATTTCGCCCGGATGGTAATGGAAAAGTGGCCACAGGATGGAATCTAGACAATAAAAGATGCTGTCAGTAGTCTATTCTGACTCCGCACTGCAAGCCTAAACTCGCATACTTCAACAATGCGTGAGAACTGGTGAACTAACTGGAGAATCCATTGTAGTGCCGATCTGCGAGTTCATCATCAATGAATACCGGAATCGCTCCATATTCGTCCTTTAGACGTTGTTTGACAACAGGGATTTCCTCTTCGGGAACCTCCAATCCGGGCCAGCCGTACCATTGGAAGGTCGTAGACTTGGACAGGCCGCTAAGACCGCTGACCAGCCCGCCCGAGGACATGGAGAAGTCATACTTGCCATCCTCCGAGCGCTTTATAGTAATGGGGAGCCGATTGGAGACGAGAAGCAATCTCGCCTCGTTTTGGGTGGAGTTCTCGAGTGACGGCATAGCGTATCAGGATGTGTGGCTGCGGGATATCGGACAGGCACAACCGGGAATATCTGATCGGACCGGCGACAGAATGTAATTGAAGTTTATTCCTATCGGAAACCCTTTTAGAGAAAGAACGCGACGCTAAAGAGAAGAAAGGCAAGTCAAAACAGGTGACGTTTAACGGAGCGTAGGAGTATGCCGTGAATAAGGTGGGGACGATCTTAAAGAGCAATCCGACAGTGAGGGGAATGAAGGGCGCCGATAAGAGCGCAGGGGGGACGAACAGTCTCAGTCACCAATGCTGGATGAACGTAGCCCTCTCTTGTTGTAGCTTTGATTCTGGATAGTTCACTCACGCCTTGAACGAAGAATTCGCTGACGCTCCTGTCTCTCAGACAGCAAGAAGAAACAAGCTGGAGGTTGGCGGGGAAGAGTGACCTCAGAGCCCAGCAAACAGCCAAACGCGCGGACCAACGGACCCAGATTTGGGCAAAAAGACTGGTGGGGGGCAAGAAAGCGGCTTGCTCTTCAATAACGAGTTCATCGACTGCGAGATTCGGATGGGATATATGATATCAGGGCCAGTTCGTTGAGACCAGAAGAGAGAGAAACATAAAAATACTGGTTTGATCCTCCTCAATACAAGTATTGGTTTGATACGAAATAGTGATATTAATAACAATAATAGGCAGTGAGATCCAGGCGGAGGGGTAACCGGTTAAAACCAGTTTAGTCTAGATAAGTGATAGGTAACAATAAAATATGACTGCTCGGGAAACCCATACTACTGCAGGTCTCCAGGCCTGTCAATTCGGGCACTTGCAGTGCAGTATCAGAGGTAACTTACAGTATATGATGGTAACCCAAGGTTTGTGGCAATGTGCCCAGCCTAAGTCTGACTAACTGGAATGTCGCCTTGGACTTCCCGACCAGTCAAGGAAGAAGCCCTCGATGATGCCAACACTTCCAAGAAAAAAGATAACGGCATCAGGTTTTCCTTACCAAAGAAAGAAACAAATCCCGCCTACAGTCCATTCTTTTTCCGGTCCATATGTCGCATCCTTTAACAACTTCCTTTCATGGGTCGACCACCAGTCGTCTCGTATCGTGGGTTGATGACGGGCTGGCGGCGTAATCATAACTCCTGCATGTTTACTATCACCTGTATTTATATGAGTGAAGTAGGCGCCCAACAGGTGGCGTTTTTGGGAGTCCAATCTCTTAATATGGGTCCACATGGCCTGGCATCTGTTGCAACATTAATCTAACCTCTTCTTGAAATTCTTGCATACTCGGTAGATTTTGGGATCAGGCCGGAAGCACTTTCACTGGTTAGAAGCATTGTCTGTCACATTAAGCTACTACTAGATATCATGTATATATCACGATATTAATCGCGCATACAGCAAGCTGTGAGACGGATTTGAAATCAAGCATCCGCTGCCGAGGAGTAGTGTGTCGCCATCCTATAATCAATCGATTCACAATGCAGACTTTCCATTGTCTATGCTCCACTTCCCCGTCTCTGTGTCATGGACTACCTTTCCTTCAGCCTCCAATTTCATCAGCACCTGCAAGACACCATGCGAAGCAGGCAAGTGAAGACTTTCGGGAACATTCCGGTAGATAACTTTGACTAGTTCGAGGGGGGTCCATGAAGCCTTGCGTTCTGGAGAAGGTTCATTATCCGGGACGTCAAGCTTTCCATACCGTAACACCCGAATAACTTCTTCCTCACGCTGCTGCCGATGGTTGATGTACTCGGTGATCTTCGTAGATGCATTCTCTATCACTGCACCGTGGCCTGGATATCCGCGGCCTGAGACCCGATTCTGCATTCGCTGCAGACTGGACAAATATACTATGAGATCTTCAAACACTGCTGTCCCGTGACCCAGCACGTCTAAAAAGCAAAAGTGAAAAAGAGGGTCAGCCGCAACGGTGAACATATAGAACCACCACCTAGTGGAGAGTAGGACTCACTATCGCCAGTGATAATGGCGTCCTCCTCTTCAAGAACGAACATCATATGGTCCACAGTATGGCCTGGCGTATGGTACGCCTTCAACGTAGCGCCTTCAACGCTGAAGACTTGGCCATCTTCAATATCAAGCTGACCTTCATCTGGTTGGTGCTTGTAAACCGTCACTTGCGGACAAATCTTGAGGAGGTCGGGAACGCCATTGACATGATCGTGGTGCCAGTGTGTCAGGAGTGCTTTGTGGACTGTCGCATTCTCCTTTGCTAGCACGCCTTTGAGATGATTTGCCCAGGACGGTTTGCCCTCGCCGGTGTCGATGAGTATCCGCTGGTGGCCCCGTCCGATTAGATATGTGTTTGTCCCTATAATATCTGGCATGAGATTCCTGCTTCGTTTTAGGACGTTTGTGTAGACCACTCACCTTGCAGCGTGAACTATAAGATCGATCGCATATTAGCTTCGACCCGGGCCATTGATTTGTATCTGCTTCTGCGCGAAACCTTAAATTCAAGAATGCACTCACCTTCCCTGGATTTCCCCCCAGTATCCGGACTACTGAAGCGCTGAGCCTTTCCACTTCTGCGAGCGGGACAAGTTGTGTAGCCATGGTTTAGGAAGTGATGTTAACGATGGTTGATATATGCGGAGTCTGCTTGCGAAGTTGTTGGGTTTCACAAAGGCGCTTACGAAATGTGTTTCTTTATCGGATCGACCGTCGAGTTTTCAGGAATAGCCAGAGAATATCCATACAAACTGGAAGCAACTATAATGCTCCGCGGTCTACAATTTGTTAATCGCCATTTCCGATATTAGGTAGGTTCTCTTTGCTTAAGCCAGAGTATGGAGTAGAGAGTGGTCCCTTAGTAGCCGAGGTAGTGTTCATTGCGGGGTGCTAAGCTGTCGTCAGGCACGCTAGTGAATTTCTGTTGGTTTCCGTGTATTATCTGTACAGCTTCCAAATTGCTCCAGCTTGAAGTTGATAACATCTTTTGAGGCATTTACAAATAGGATGGCTCTCTCCAGGGACTTGGCACATGGGAAGCAATCTCGCCTTTCCACATATCACTTTACCAGACAGGGCAAACTGCTACTAGAAGATATGGGTCACGAAAATCTGGCCTTGAACATAGAAGAAATGACTTTGGTATGCATGCGATCCCTAACATACAATAGCTGTGTGCAAAAAAAGAAAACGGAAGCCTATATCCATAGAGCCCACCCAAAACTCAGGATGGTAGAGAACAACAAGGAAAACTTCGATGGTAACAAAGAAACACAAAGCGTTAGAATTTTCAGAACACCGTCTTTACCATCATGAACCGTGAAAAGCGGGCTCAAAGGCCGCTGTCCACTCCCCAGACATTGCGAACTCGAGTCAAGTGCAGGATACATAGCACTAAACTCAAGACGCTCAAAACGATGTTCCCAGTGATCGCTAGGAACACTCAAGACATAATTTACAAACCTTCGACACCGTAATGCGGAGGGTTTAGCCTTCAAGCGGACTGTCGCTACTAAATTTATTTGGTACCGGACTTGCGGGCCATGGTGTTAAGGGCAGAGCCATCCTTGAACCACTCGATCTGAGACTCGTTGAAGGTGTGGTTCAGGGAAACGTCGAAGGGAGCGCTGCCATCCTTGGGGTGAACACGGAGAGTCATGGGCTTGCCAACCTCGAGCTGGGTGCAAAGAAGGTCGACGGTGTCCTCAGGGTTAATTTTGTCATAATCGGCGGGGTCAGCGAAGGTGAGAGGAAGCATACCCTGCTTCTTCAGGTTGGTTTCGTGCTGTAAAAAAGAGAGTTAGCCTTAAATGTGCAAGTGCAAAATGATGAAGCTGAAACACTTACGATACGGGCAAAGCTGCGGGTGATGATGGCGAGACCACCAAGATGTCTGGGCTCCAGAGCGGCGTGCTCACGGGAGCTTCCCTCACCGTAGTTCCAGTCGCCAATGACAACCCACTTAACACCACGAGCCTTGTAGTCACGAGCGGTAGCAGGAACAGCATCGTACTCGCCAGTGAACTTGTTCTTGACAGAGTTGGCCTTGCCGTTCTCAGCGTTGACAGCACCAATCAGCATGTTGTTGGAGATGTTGTCAAGGTGGCCACGGTACTTCAACCATGGGCCAGCCATGGAGATGTGATCGGTGGTGGTCTTGCCCTGGCACTTGATGAGGATAGGGATGCCAGTGGCGTCCTTGCCATCCCAGGGCTCGAATCCAGCAAGGAGCTGCAGACGGTCACTGGTGGGAGAGACAGCGACGTTGACCGAGGCGCGGTCGGCGGGAGGAGCCTGGTAGGTGTCACGGCCGGGGTCGTAGCCCTTGGCGGGGAGACCCTCTCCAGTAGGAGGCTGGAGCAGGAACTCATTGCCGTCCTTGTCCTTCAGCTTGTCAGTGAGGGGGTTGAACTTCAGGGTACCGGCAACGGTCATGGCGACGACAAGGTCGGGAGAAGCGACGAAGGCGTGGGTAGCAGGGTTGGCGTCGTTACGGCCAGTGAAGTTACGGTTGTAGGAGGAGATGATGGAGTTAGGCTCGCCCTTCTTGACGTCCTTGCGGTCCCACTGTCCGATGCAGGGACCGCAGGCGTTGGCAAGAATGACACCACCGAACTCCTCCAGAGTCTGGAGCTGGCCATCGCGCTCAATAGTGGCGCGGATCTGCTCGGAACCGGGGGTAACAGTGAAGAGGGACTTGGCCTTCACACCATGGTTAAGAGCGTCACGAGCGATTGAGGCGGCACGGGACATGTCCTCATAAGAGGAGTTGGTGCAAGAACCGATCAGACCAACCTTGAGCTCCTCAGGCCACTTGTTGGTCTCGACAGCCTCCTTGAACTTAGAGATGGGGGTAGCAAGATCAGGAGTAAAGGGACCGTTGATGTGAGGCTCAAGCTCAGAGAGGTTGATCTCGATCAGCTGGTCGTACTCGGCGCCCTCGTCCTCACGCAGCTCCTTGGCGTACTCGCGGGAGAAGTCACCAATGTGCTGACGCTTGGTAGCCTTCAAGTAATCGTACATGCGGTCGTTGAAGGGGAACATGGATGTGGTAGCACCAATTTCAGCACCCATGTTACAGATAGTACCCATACCAGTGCAAGAGAGAGTTTTAACACCAGGTCCGTGGTACTCAATGATAGCACCAGTACCACCCTTGACGGTAAGGAGGCCGGCAACCTTCAGGATGATATCCTTGGGAGTGGTCCAGCCGGACATCTCACCGGTAAGCTTGACACCGATGACCTTGGGAGCCTTCAACTCCCAGGGAAGCCCAGCCATGACATCGACAGCATCAGCACCACCGACACCAATAGCAGCCATAGCAAGGCCACCAGCGTTGGGGGTGTGAGAGTCAGTACCGATCATCAGACCACCAGGGAAAGCGTAGTTCTCCAGGACGATCTGGTGAATGATACCGGAACCGGGCTTCCAGAAACCGATGTTGTACTTGGCGGTGGCACTAGCCAGGAAATCATAAACTTCCTTGTTGATCTCGTTGGCACGAGCAAGATCCTTCTCACCTCCAACCTGGGCCTCGATCAAGTGGTCACAGTGGACGGTAGTAGGAGTAGCGACAGAGGGCATGCCAGCAGACATGAACTGCAGAATGGCCATCTGAGCGGTGGCATCCTGGCAAGCGACACGGTCGGGGCGGAGCTTCAGGTAGGACTTGCCACGCTCAATCTCCTGTCCGTGAGGGTCGTCAAGGTGAGAGTATAGAACCTTCTCGGCGTATGTGAGAGGACGCTGCAAGCGACGACGGACAATGTCCAGGTTCTCGGACATCTTCCTGAAAAGTTGATGAACATGTTAGTAACTCAGTGATTAATGCTGATTCCCAGATTCTCCGCATGAGCGGATTGTTTTGGGCTGAGTGCAAAAGGGCGTTTGTAGCATACTTGTAGTTGATGTAGTTACCCTGGCGGATACGTTAGCGGATCCGGTTGCCGTAACGAGCTAACAGCAGCGCTGGACTGGCCGAACAAGACCACTCACCTTCTCAGTGTTGGCCATCTCGACCTTCTTGTCGAGAGGGGAGTCACCGACAGTAGCGAAGGCCCGGGTCCCGAGGAACTACGCAAAAGATCAGTCAGTACATCTGCACTGTTGGTCAAGTGGCCATGACCACGATTTGTGAGTTGCTCTCTGGAGAACAGCGCGGCGAGCTGAGATTATGGGATTCTTACAAGTCGGGACTTGGGGGCCTGTGAGGTATCATGTCAGCTTCTGGAGAATTCATATTTTGGTGGTGTCCGATCCATCCTTCAATGCATCGCACATGACTGCAGATACCTGAAGGATGAGCTCGGAGCTGGAGTTCACTTACCAGCGCACCGGCGCGCGCAAGCCTTGTGGAGATCATGATGGAAGCTCTCTATGTGAGTTGGGCAATGCCGCAATACATCCAACGAGAGCGAATCCAAGCAGCAACAACAGCCAGCTGCAGTAAAGAATGGAGTGGAGTGGGAAAGTAAGTAAGAGAAATGAGTTAAGGATCAAAGGGAGATGGAGCAGATAAAAAGGAAGCTTGGTGTGGGAAAGAATTCTTGATGAACCGGAGAAGAGGACCCGTAACCGCTCGTGACAGTACGGCCATACGTTTTCGGTACAATCGGCGCCCACGCTTGCGACCGGAGACAAGGAAAAATGGCTGGAAGCCCGCCTCCATTATTCTACTAAAGCTCACCATACACCAATGATCTTGATTACAATTGGAAAATTTCTCTTGGTCTTAAGACCGGAGGCCTCCAAAAATTGATCTACAGGCTCATCAGTTGTGTTTGACAAGGGTCCATCATTAATGGCCTTGCAATTTGGCTGCCAGCCCTAAGCAGTAACTATGTAGCACCCCYATGTCCAAACTTCGTTACAAAAAAACGGTATGGATTGATGTAATGGGTTTCACACCTAAGCGGCCTGATGCCCGTGCTTCCACTCTGGGGCATGTGAGACGGAAATAGCGCTGGGCCAATCATGTGGCAAGGATTATCTATCGTCACTCTGATTCTGTACTGAGGTAACTCAGCAGTGGTCCACTGGCTTCGATTGTAGAAAAAGCCTGAATTCCATGACCCTACAGCTCATCCAGGTCAAAATGATTACTTGGTCCTCTCCACGTTGAAGAATAGTACAGAGAACTTGTGTCCCATTCTCCAGGGGCAACCATCTTGACAGGTGTCCACCGCAGATACCTCAGAAAGCGGCTGTTTATGGGGCTAAGATCATTACTTTACCTGGATCGCAACTGGACGATGCTAGGACGGAGCAACATGCCGAAAGGAATGAAAACGTCATAAATTACGGAACGTGGAAAGATGTTGTAATGACTGTATGGGAGTATGCAATTGAAGCCGAGTCTGAGCCGAGGCCTACCGAAGGGGTACCCGCGGGCCAGCGCCAAGCCCAACCAGGACTCACGCCAATCAAAAGCGAGTACTTCGAGAAAATCCCTCTTTATGGAGAGAGGCCGAAATTTCGAGACAGTTGACCCGCTTCCAAAGGCCTAAAACTTTTGCATCGTTCCGTATATCGGTGATAACAATTTTGTGACAATCTCGTGAATAGTGTCCAGACTACACTAGGTCTGCAGATATTCAAGATGGGAGCTGTGAGGAAAATCAAAACAAAGCGCAGAACAAGGTACGATATACAGGAACACACTCATCACGTTCGTCGATACACTTGAAGAACCAATAGCTCTAACATCATTCGTCTCTGTAGGGACTACGATCAGGTCCGAGCGGACATTGATTCTCCCAAGCACCTTACGCAGTACAAAGCCACCAAGGACGCGGAGGATCTTCCAGGTCTAGGAAAGCATTATTGCGTCGAATGTTCGAAATGGTTTGAGAGCGAATACAACCTGGTCGCCCATACCAAGGGCAAAAACCACAAAAGAAGGTCGGTAATCGTAAACGGCGCGAACGCCTTCTTGGACCGATCACAACTGACTGAGGGATGCTTGGACAGATTGCGGATGCTGCGCGAGGAACCTCATTCACAGAAAATCGCAGAGGCTGCTGTCGGTCTGGGTACCGACAATGGGTTGCGACAGCAGGAAACGGTCGTTGACATGGAGGACTAGACAGCCTATAGCCTAACGGTCATCCTCAACAAAGAACAACCTTCGATAGATACCCTATCTTCGACCCTCTGTCCAGGCTGCAAACTCGGCGACAAACTCTGCACGACTGGATTACACCTTCAGGTTATTGCCGTTTGCTTTGAAGGCACAGCGAACCTCTTTCGTCCAATCAGCAAACAGGCTGGGTCTGAACCGCACATGAAACCACATGTTCCGAACTTCGCCAGTTATTGGCGATCCCAAAGCCGAGCAAACCAATTCCGGTTTGCGGTGACCTTCAAATCGCCGGTTTTCGGCCCCCTACCAGCATTGGCCCACATTTATTTGGGTCTTAGTATGAAATTTATTTACTAGCTGCAATAAATACCAGATACAGCGGTATAGCCTACAGGTTGATCTTAAACATAACAAATGTGCCTTCTACTTTATACAGTACTTCCAGTAACTCCAGCAACACAGCTCTGTGTCTGATCGCAAGGGCTGTTTAAATATTTCATGAGCCATTCGTATGTTGCCCACTGTTGCCCATGATTAGCAAATGCCACTTCGTGGTGATGACACTGTTGAGAACACATACCTGGACAGCGTTCACTATGAAAGCTCTCAAGCTACAAATTCCCAGGCCTCGATAGAAGGCTTTCAATCCTTCGGATCGATACGCGGCTTTGGCGATCTGGTAGGAGTTCAATGTCTGTGGGTTGCTCTGTAAATGTATCAGTGGGCGGGACTCGGGTGTTGTTGCAATTGTCTGCGCCTGCAGTCTCGTCTTAATCATATCCAGCGGGTAGACAGAAGCCCATGTGGTCACTCCAGCAATGCCTCCGCAAAGAAGTACTTTCAGAGCAATGTCATGCGCGTTATCATTTTCGGAGGCCATAAGACGTTTGCAGTACTCGTAAGACCAGAAACTGTGGGTGGCATAGGTAAATAAACGTCTGACTAGAACTGGCGGGGAAAGGTCTGGGGGAAGCATTGTGCATACTAAAATCCGTAGCCAATCGAGTCTCTGGCGCAAGTAATCACTCCTCCGAAATAGAGACCCGTCAATCCTCGGGTCCGAAAGATGTCCTTGGCGACTGTCCACGAAGAGATCCCAGGGCGAGTGTCAAGTTGCGCTCGGCATTTGATGAACTCTGTAGGAGATGAGACCGTCCAGCTGGCCACTCCGCCAGCAGCACCGGCAAGCCAGATTTTGTAAAGCGAAACGCCGAAAGGGTTTGTGGGATCCTTTACCGAATCATCCATAAACAACAATGAACGATTGTAGGCGACAAATAAAAGCGCATTAAGCGCTCCATATCCCAGTATGGGAGCAGCAGCACCTGCAGAATACTTATGTCAGTGCTTATGGCAGGTTCTGCATCGTGAGAGGGCCAACCAACCTCGCACAAGGGAGCTCACGTTCTCAAAGGAGACTATGTTCCGGCTTGTTGATCCAGCTGCATCAGCCCCGCCAGCTTGTAATCGAACCTTGACGACATCTAGAGGGTTGCCGATTATGATTCCAATGGCCCCACTGAGGTATCCTGCCCAAAAGTCCGACGACATTGAGGACAATCTCTCAAGGTCCAGAGCTTGAGCAGTGGCTACCTACATCGTTGCCTTGGATATTGATCCTACCACGGTTAATGGCGGGGTGGGCTACAATATCCGCACGTGATTGCGTGGTACTTTGGTGTTCAGTCAACAGCGGAGTCGCGCCAAGTATTGTGGACAACGCGTCGAGCGGCAATCTCCAGATCGAGCAACCTTGATTGATGAGCGCAGACAGCGACAGGGCAACCCAAGAAGCCATCAATGTTAGTACCTCCTAGGCCCTGTACGTCCCAATGAGCTTAGCTGACAGAAATAGGTATCGCCCGCGACCAGCCGTAGGAATCGAAGGTGGAAACACCCCGTTATCCAAGCCACTACAGAAAAGCGTGTCATCCAACTCGATAGACCGTCTGTCGAAGCCTTTTAAATGTCCGGGGACTGCCACCCCTACGCGAACTTCAGATAAGCCTGCGAGAAAACGAAGGAAAGTCAACTATGCAGGAGCAGATGGGGAGGTGGAGGACAACACCGTCAAGCCATGGACCAACGAAGAACGTCTTGCTCTTGCGACAAGAGACGCGAATAAATTCCCCGTCTTCAAAGTCAAGGACAAAGAAACCACCTTTAAGCAAAGATTTCGAATCCCTTTGATCAACAAGTCCTCTGATGGATATAATCCTTCGAGACCAGCTCCCACTTTGGGAATGAGGCAAGGCGCCACTTTTGTTGTGAAACCACTACATGATCCCAGCGGAGAATTTGCGATAGTTCTATATGATCCGACCGTCGACGATATTGATGAGCCTCCGGACTCGAGGCCCGAAGACAAGGATACCCAGGAAACTAAAGCCAAGCTGGATGAGCCGCTGATGCACAAGAGCCTAGCAGATATACTCGGGCTGAAGAAGAAGGTTGAATCTCGTCCTAAGGTCCCAGTGGTCATAGATCCCAGACTGGCGAAAGTTCTGAGGCCGCATCAAGTGGAAGGTGTAAAGGTAATGATTCTCTCCACATCCACCCGACCACGGATCCCAGAAACTGACCCGTCTTTGCCGTAAGTTTCTTTATCGCTGTACAACCGGTATGATAGATAAAAATGCGAATGGTTGCATTATGGCCGATGGTATGGGATTGGGCAAGACTGTATGTCGCACCTTCTTTCGTATATTGATCAAGCCTAACATTGACAGCTTCAATGCATTTCCCTGATGTGGACACTTCTGAAGCAATCACCGGAAGCAGGAAAGACGACAATTCAGAAGTGTATTATTGCTTGTCCCTCCAGTCTGGTTGGAAATTGGGCCAACGAACTCGGTAAGCGACAAGTCCTTTGCGTTAGTCGCTTATATTAATATGAGTAGTGAAATGGCTGGGAAAGGATGCAGTAACGCCATTCGCGATAGACGGCAAAGCCTCGAAGGCAGAGCTCACCTCCCAAATAAAGCAATGGGCAATCGCATCCGGGCGGGCCGTAGTCAGGCCTGTTCTCATAGTTTCTTACGAAACTCTTCGAATGTATGTCGATGCATTAAAAGACAGTCCAATTGGGCTTCTTCTGTGCGATGAAGGCCATCGACTCAAGAACAAAGACAGTTTAACATGGACTGCTTTGAACAGCCTGAATGTGACTCGCCGTGTGATTTTGTCTGGTACCCCCATTCAGAATGATCTCTCGGAGTACTTCGCTCTACTTCATTTTGCCAACCCAAATCTGCTGGGCTCGCAAAACGAGTTTCGAAAGAGATTCGAAATACCTATTCTAAAAGGACGAGACGCTGCAGGAACAGAGGAAGATCGGAAGAAAGGCGACGAGCGCTTGGCAGAGTTGTCCGGTATTGTGAACAAATTCATCATTCGCCGGACGAACGATATTTTGTCGAAGTATCTGCCGATCAAATACGAGCATGTTGTCTTCTGCAATCTTTCCCAATTCCAGCTTGATCTCTACAACCATTTCATTCAAAGCCCCGAGATCAAGAGCTTACTTAGGGGAAAGGGAAGCCAACCTCTCAAGGCCATTGGAATATTGAAAAAGCTATGCAATCATCCGGATTTACTTGATCTCACTAGAGATCTTCCAGGTTGCGAACATACGTTTCCCGAGGACTACGTTCCACCTGAAGCTAGAGGTCGAGACAGAGATGTCAAATCTTGGTACTCGGGAAAGATGATGGTTCTTGATCGTATGCTGGCTCGTATCCGTCAGGATACCAATGACAAGATTGTTCTCATCAGCAATTATACCCAAACTCTCGACTTGTTCGAGAAACTCTGCCGATCGAGAGGCTATGGCTCGTTGAGGCTGGACGGTACTATGAACATAAACAAGCGGCAAAAGCTCGTCGACAAATTCAACAATCCAGACGGTGAGGAATTCGTGTTCCTTCTAAGCAGCAAGGCCGGAGGCTGTGGATTAAATCTGATCGGCGCAAACCGCCTTGTGCTGTTCGATCCAGATTGGAATCCCGCTGCAGACCAGCAGGCCTTGGCTCGAGTTTGGCGTGACGGACAAAAGAAAGATTGTTTTGTTTATCGTTTTATTGCAACTGGGTCGATTGAGGAAAAGATCTTCCAACGTCAATCCCACAAGCAATCACTCTCATCATGCGTCGTGGATTCAGCTGAAGACGTTGAGCGGCATTTCTCGCTGGAGTCACTACGCGAGCTGTTCCAGTTCAAGCCAGAAACGCGAAGTGACACTCACGACACATTCAAATGTAAGCGATGCAGACCGGACGGAACGCAGTACATAAAGGCTCCAGCCATGTTGTACGGCGACACCAGTTCCTGGAATCATTTTGTGAATGACGGTGAGAAGGGCCAGCTCAGTAAGATCCAAGATCTACTGATACGCCAGGAGACTGGTGAAAAGGATGTGTCCGCCGTCTTCCAATATATTAGTCATTAAGGCTCTACTCTCAGGCCGATTCTCGCTTGGAGCCTTCACGAACTTTCATGTTAGATTTTGGAGTTTTGGGGGTCATGTTGATGCCTTGTTATGGTCCTCGCGGTTACAGCGATTACGTACTCAACGTAACTTGGAACACCATAAGTGATACGACATAGAGACATAGTTGAATACAATTTCCCGCGGATGCATATATAAGTCGTACGTTTGAAAGGCTGTATGTCAAGGGTTTGTTGTACCGCTAGACTCGAGCGTCTATGGTCGGCGCTAAGGCCTGTCTTTGATGGTTGACAACTACGTCACCTCACGTCCACTAATATACCCCCATCAACTCTGCCAACGCATCTACGCTGAGAGTGCTCCCCACATTGCTATTGCAACGACCAGGCGCGCGTAAGCAGCTGACTTAGCAGTTTTGCAGCCCTATTTGGTTCTGACCGTGCAGAGGGTGAAGCCTGGTATTGATGGTTTTTCTATAGCTACAGGTTGTTGAGCTCGAGTTTCCGATTCACCGCCAAAGTCTAGCCAGAAATCGTCCCTCCACCATGAGCACTATTTAACAGAAATTCGAGAGTCGAGAACTCATCAAGTCTATGTTTATTTGAGCTATGGATCATTCGATTCAGCGCCTGCTGAATGACAAGCTCTATGATCGCAGAAAACAGGGAGCTCTAGAGTACGGTTGACCGATTGTCTCCAGGGGAGTCTTTGACCGACAGGACACTGATTAACCATATTCAGGCTCGAGAAAGTCGTTCGCAATGCTGTTTTCCGAGGAGATCATGAAGAGATCCAGAAAATTGTCGATCAGCTTTGTCATGATTACGCCTACGCCGTACATCAGCCGCATGCGAGAAATGGTGGTTTGATCGGTTTAGCTGCGGCTTCAATAGCGCTTGGATCCGTGAGTCTGTTGGATAGGTTGCAATGATATCGTCGGTGCTGATACTGGATTGAATCAGGAGGGCGTTGCGCCATATCTAAAAGAGATTGTGCCACCGGTTCTTGCTTGCTTTTCCGACCAAGATGCCAGAGTCCGATACTACGCATGCGAGAGCATGTACAACATTGCGAAAGTCGCAAAGGGGGAGGTTCTTCTTTTTTTCAATGAGATATTTGACGCTCTGAGCAAAGTAGGTCGTCCCTAGCTATTTTCTTGTTTTCTTGCGTACAACTGCCACGGTCTAATCTCGATTTCAGTTAGCTTCCGATTCTGAGCTTTCTGTCAAAAACGGTGCGGAGCTCCTCGATCGACTTGTCAAGGACATTGTTTCGGAATCTGCTGCCTCCTACATATCAGTTTTGCAATTATCAGAGAAGCATACGGCAGACCCTGATGCGCAGGAAGAGGTCGAGCTTCCCACTGCGTTTTCGTTAGCCAAGTTCATACCCTTGCTGAAGGAACGGATACACGTCATCAGTCCATCCACCCGCACTTTCTTGGTGTCATGGTTGACCTTACTGGATACCATTCCCGACCTGGAACTTGTGTCATATCTCCCGGAATTCTTGGGAGGATTAATTGAGTTCCTTGGTGACCCGAACAGAGACGTCAATGTCACCACTCAGACTCTTCTCGACAGGTTTTTATCCGAAATCAAGAGGATTGCACGCCTCAAGAAAGGCATAGAAGAGAGTCGCAAAGAGCAAGGGAGCGACAACAGACAGTCGGCCGCGAGTGATAGTGTCAGCACCACTACTGATCACACAGTAGCTGTGGACACTGAACGCAGTGAAAATGCTATCGAGGACTCCGAGCCTGAGTCAGACCTTGAGGAAAATGACTTGCAGGCTGACGGAGACTGGATCCCAGGGCAAGATGTTCACATCGACTATCCCAAGATTTTGGACATCCTTGTGGGGTTTGTCGATACCTCATTCGGTAAGCAAATTGAGTGGTACATTATCCCGTAGTCGCAAACTAAACACCGAGTTAGATGAGGAGATGCAGTTAACTGCATTACGCTGGATTGACAGCTTCTTCGAGATTAGCCCTGAAGATATCCTCCCTTTCGTCCCGCGTCTCTTGACACAGGTTCTCCCAGCAATGTCTAGCGGTTCAGACCAAGTGCGGCAGGCCGCCAATCGCGTCAACACATCATTGCTTGAGTATATCGTCTCCTTGTCTGAGGATAGCACCGAGGAAACACGACAGGGTCCCCCTTCCGGACCAGTATCCACCGCAAGCAAAGAGCTTGTGGAGAGAAGAGCATCGACACCAAGTGGTCGTCGATCTGTCGAAACGTCCACGAGTGATTCGAAAAAGCAAGCTTCTCAACAAGATCTCTCCAATGAGCAGACACCTCGTAGCAGTGTGATATCTACACCAATTCCTCCAGCGGATCTGGATTATGCCGCTGCCGTCAACTCGCTGACTTTGCAGTTCCTGAATGAGAACGAAGCGACAAGGGTGGCTGCCCTGTCTTGGTTGATTATGTTGCATCGGAAGGCGCCAAAGAAAGTGGTGGCATTTAACGATGGGACATTTCCTGCACTGCTGAAGACGCTGTCAGACCCTGCGGAAGCTGTTGTCACAAAGGACCTCCAGCTTCTTTCACAGATCTCGAGGAACAGCGATGATAGCTACTTCACATCTTTCATGGTTAATTTGCTTCAGCTCTTCTCCACCGACAGACATCTGTTGGAAGTCCGAGGCAACCTGATCATTCGACAACTCTGCATGAATTTAAGTCCAGAGCGCATCTATCGGACTCTAGCAGACTGCCTCGAGAAAGAAGAAGTTAGTTTCCTCCGGTATGCAATGTTTCCAGGTGCTGACTGGTATGTTGTCTAGGACATCGAGTTTGCAAGTATCATGGTACAGAATTTGAATAATAACCTGATCACTGCACCTGAGCTATCAGATCTGAGAAAGAGGCTAAGGAATCTTGACTCCAAGGTAGGACAATCTCTTGAGTCGGCGGCTTCAAGCAGTTACTGACGTATCCCGAAAGGAGGGTCAGATGTTCTTTGTCGCTCTGTTCCGGTCATGGTGCCACAATGCTGTTTCTACATTCTCCCTCTGTCTGCTTGCGCAGGCTTATGAGCAGGCTTATAACCTTCTTCAAGTCTTGTACGTTTACCGGTCCATTCCCCCATCTCTGACGGTGACTAACGTAGAAACCAGTGCTGAGCTTGAGATGACTGTGAATATGTTGATCCAAATTGATAAACTGGTTCAGCTCCTGGAGTCGCCCGTCTTTACCTGTTAGATTCCATCCTACCTATATGACCCCTCGAATTTTGAGACTAAGGTACAGCAGATCTTCGTCTCCAGCTCCTCGAACCAGAAAGATACCCGTATCTGTACAAGTGTCTCTACGGAGTTCTCATGCTCCTCCCTCAGAGCAGTGCATTTGCTGCGTTGAAGAACCGTCTAAACAGCGTTAGCAATATTGGCCTCCTGCACACCGGCCCTCGACTGTAAGGGAAAATTTCACCTGGTGCAAGGATCCTGAGCTGACAAAGAACCAGTACGAGTATGGCTTCATCCTCATCATCAGGCTACGAACGCGCCACTGGCAGTCGACTGAAAAGCCGCGAGGAAAATACCATCCGGTGGGTCGAACTCCTCGACAAGTTCAAGTCCGTGCAGGAGAAAGCCCGCCGCGCGCAACGTGCCTCACAACGGCAGTTCGACCAGGACGGCAGCACCGCAGGACTACGAAACCCGTCCCTCACTGCCGCCCTGTCCGCCGCTGCAACAGCCGACAGGGGCAAAGAGCGTGGGCTGCCGGACTCGCCTCGCGGCAGCAGACCGGACATTGGGGGCTCGGGTGGGCGCAATAGCCCCGGAGACTCTGCCACACCTAACCGTGGCTCGCTCCTTAGCGGTACGCAGAGGAATAAGTCGGGGCTTCCTAATCTCGGCCGTCTAGGTATTGGGAGCAGAAGGTCCAAGCGTTGAGAGAAACTAGCGTTGTTTGCGCACAATCAGGCTGTGTGCTGTTCAACATTCTAGAGTGCTTCAACATGATGATGCCATTTGTGCTTCAGAGGTTTCCGGCTGTCCGCCTCCTTCTTTCACGCATACCCAATTGTCTGATACGTGGAGTGTCGTTGACCCAAGTGCACGTGGTTCGAGAGCCAGACTTTATCTATACCCAGTGATATCCATACAGATGACGTTACTACAGTTTACTTGTGTATTTATTGCAGTACTTGTGGAACAGCAAGTAGGGTTGTCCAAAGCTCTAGAGTGATTTGACTCAGAATATTCGAGTATAAACCCTATGCACAGTTGTCCAGCGCTCGCCACGGCAGAAAACGCACTCCGTATAAGTCATTGCGACGACTCGCTAATTTCGCATACACTCACGTATAATAAAGTAGAAGAGGAAGATAGAATGTCCAAAAAATCGAAAAGGTCGAAGAAAGAGTAAGTTGCGGGAGTGTCATGTTCCCCAAGTCAAATCTCCGAGAGAGGAAAGAAGATCATGCAGAGATGGTTGACAGGGAGGTAGCCCAAGGGGTAAATTGGTATAAGAAAGTCAAGTCATCCAACAAGGCTGGCCAAGTCCATTGACTTGGATCTAAAATGATCACAGATCACGAGTGGGAGGGAAGTAAGGGCGCCTGTCTTCTAGGTCGCTTCGGGGCGGGCCGTCCGTCCCCATAGAAGAACGCGAGAAAATCGAACAGCAAGCATTCATATGTGATCGGAAACGTCATCATATCCTCTGCACAAACATAATGCTGAGAATATACAAGGGCAAATGGAAAAAAGTGGAAAAGAAGAAAAAATTCCGCGTCAGATCGGTTCGTCACCGCCATCGCGACTCGGAACCGGAACCACCCCAGGTTGGGGTCTTCCAGTAACTTCCTGTTGAATGCTTGGAGACGGTTCCTGTTGGCGAGTTCGAGCCGTTGGAATAGACATATTCGCCGTCGACGTATTGGACGCCGGAGAATGTGCTGCGGTGCTTGCGACGGGCATAGCGCTGCTCTAATCTGTAGAGCTCGATCTCTGCGGATGGAATGTTAGGAGACACATTAAGTTC